GCTAGTTGGTCACCAATTACATTAGAACAAAACTAATTTGTCTTTAAAATCAAAAGCCTTAAAGACTGGTCAGTTAACTTGTGAGTGAGGTCAATCAGAGAATTACTGAATTGATGGCAAACCCATTTTCTCTGTACCATTACTCATTTTAATCTGCAACAGTCCCATGGAGTACTTGTCTCAAAATACTTGAATCCACTTAATAGATGTAATTTTCTGAGATCAGATTTTGCTCTTCATTCAAGTCTGTTGACTAGAACTGAGCATAATGTGGTATTTCAACATTGGCTTCCAAGGGAGCAGAACTGGGCCTCCATTCCATTCCCACTCCAGTGTTCCAAGCACATTCCAATTTTTCCACTGCTCAATCAAATCAGAAATATTTCAAGAACGGGAAAAAAAAATAAATTATGCATTTCCACTCACACCAGAATTAAAAAATAGGAATTTTTATACAAAGAGTTGTTGTGAGCTACATCCTGGATCAATCTGCATTTCTTCCATGGAGAAAAACTGTGTTGTACTGTGTACAACATAAATACGTAATTGTGTACACATAAATATATACATACATAAATTCACTGAGAAACTCAGCTACAGACTGAAAACCAAGCCTTGGAAAAACTCAGAAAATAGGAATATGCAGCACACCACAGCCTGATTTCCGAGTGTCCATAAATCCACGTTGTAAAAGCAAGTGCCTTTGGAAGAAGGGCGATCCTGGAACAAGTTCACTCCGGAGTGGCTGGAGCGCTGCCAGGAGTCACACCCGTGGTTGAATAATGTCCTGAGCAATGAACTCCCACACTTAAGGCCAAATTCTACTCGCTGTTCTTCACGTGAACACTCCTGTTAAACCTAAACCCGAACGATCACATCTTTTTCGTGTGAAGTGGGTACTTGAAGCAAGTGGAAGCAGAGCAGAGCTCATCAAGTGCTGCTGGCACACCCAAGCGCTTCAGAAGAACAGCCTCACATTTTGGAGAGACCTTCCCCTCCTGGTGCTCTCAAAGTTCTCAGGGAGAACACAAGTTGGAAAAACCCACACATTTCTAGCTTAAAACCAAATCAGAATGTGCTGCCGCACCCAAAGGTGGTTTTGTCTGGAAAGGTCTCTGACAAAATCCAGAGCTGCCACAGCTTAAATCAAGTTCACTGAATCTCCTAAGAAATTAGTTTCTCACTCTCCAATAACACTCTAACCAGAGCAGTAGGCAACAGGCTTTTCAAAATTCAGATTATTACTCATACCATAACATTTAACATCTTTCTGTCACTGTTGATACACTCAAGAGATCGATGAAGCCATTTCCAAACAAATTTTGTAACCTAGGGTACAATGTGATGGTGACATCAATGACAACATCCAGAAAATACAAAAAGCACCAAAAATTGAGCACCAGGATCATCCTTTCCATTTCCCTGTGTGCAGTTGTTGGCTGTGACTGGGGCTTACCTGGCCTTGCTGTTCTTTTCCACCTGTAGGAAGAATTTCAATGGTCAGTGAGGGAATAAACCAAACACCTCCTGAAGGTTTTACTACCACAGGCTGGTGGCACCAGGTACTTGTACAACCATGAAATCAAGCTAAAAACATATTTATTTCACATAGCATCCCATCAAGCAGCTCTAATGCAACTGCAGATCATTTGACTTTGAGTCCTTTCCAGTAACATTAATGCTACCAATGCTACTGCTGATAAAGACAAAATTATCATTAATACTCCCTATTAATTAGGAGGAGCCCGGGCTGGAGTCACCAAGTACAGGTCAGAGATGATGGATCCACTTTTGGTTCCTGAAGTGGAAAGGAATGCTGCTACCCACTCAGCCTCAGCTCAACACAATGAAAAAGCAAAATGAAAGTCATCAAAACACCCTTTAGACATCACACTTAAGACATTATCAACACCTACAGAGCAAACCATCCCCAAATTATCTCAGTACACAAGGGAAAGGAAGTTTCCTATGCAAGGAAAGAAAAATAACTCAATGTAAGCCAAAAATTATCTCTTTTAATACAAAATTCCATTCTCATAGAACAAATTTATTTCCACTGAATAAATAGATCTGCTCACCGTCCACAGGCGAGATTACTGCCTATAGTAAGGATGAAATTCTCTTGCCTTTCTGCAGTTTGATTAAAATATAAACATTAATTGCAACCGGCTTTACTCTATTGGATACAAGTATGAACACTTGGGGCTTTGAGGACATTGCCAAATGTATACAGCACCACTCTCACTGGGGGTTGTACTATAACCTGATTTATACAGCTCCACGCATCACTTGCATGTAGGCTTATCAATGTAATTATTACAATTATGATAAGAAGGATCTGGCCTTTGCACTTGCATGTTTAATACTCTTAGCACGTTCATGCTCTTCCACTATCTACTAAAAACCCAGCAAAACAAACAAATGAGCAAACCCCAACAGGTCAGAGCTGAAGGCAGCAGTGAGGAAACACAACCTCAAAAATGGGAATTCCAATGTGTCATGTTTTTACTGATGGCATGGAGGGCGATGCCAGATTTACAGAGGTTCGGAGCTGTCCCTCCATCTCCAGACACACGCAGCTGCCACCAAGGCTGGGGGAACGATTCTCCAAGAGAAAAAGCTCACCGATCCTGGCTGGAGCTGGAAATAGCGACATTGTTGGGAGAACAAGTATTTATGGGTTTATCTCTGTTAAAACACATTGTGCGGGGTGAAGCCAAGCTGCTCCCCGAGGAAGGAGGGCAGGTGCTGGGGAGGGCGACCTTGGGAGTGCCACCCTTTGCCAGGAGGTGACAGAGCCCGCTCCCCTCGGGACAGCAGCGCTCCGAGCAGCCCCTTTGGAGCTCTGCTGGGGGAATAACCTCAATTCACCTGCATAAAGCACCCTGACAAATGGATACTTTGGGTATCTGGACCAGCCCCACCGTCTGAAGGAGCTCAGGGCAGCGCCTAGGGCACGCAGGCGCCCGGCTCTGAGGGCTGCCCTTGGCGGCCCCACCCGCCCGGGATAAGGCGCCCGCGGGTACATTCGGCGGGGCGGACGGGGGCAGGGAGCGGCGTCGGGAGCGGCTGCAGGCCGGGATCGTATCCAGGATCGAGTCCAGGATCGGGCTCGGGATCAATCCCGGGATCAATCGGGATCAATCCCTGGATAGGGTCCGGGATCGGGCCCGGCCGCTCCGGCCCCGCCGCCGCCTCAGCGCTGGGGCTGTGGCGCCACCTGGCGGCCGCGCGGGGCCGCGCTCCGAGCCCGACCTGGGACCCGCGGGGACACAACAGCGGCGGGGACAGCGCGGGGACAAGGGGACAATGAGGGGACAAGGGGACAATGAGGGGACAAGGGGACACCGCCGGGACAAGGGGACACCGCCGGCGACAAGACACCAACGTGGACAAGATACCAACCGGGACCCGCCCGGGCAGGGAAATCCCAGGGTCTTTGGTCTGGCTCCGGGTGCAGCGGGAGCGGGAGAAGGGCGGAGCGGCCGCGGGGATGCTTTGCTTTGCTTTCCCCGATCGCATCCCCCCATTCCAAACTGGGAATGCGGTTTAAATCCCCGCTCCGGAGCTCTCTGAGTGCTCACCCCGCTGCCAGCACCGGCAACATCCCCGCGATGCCTGCCAGTGCCGCCGGCAGGCCGGGAACCAGCGCTCCGGAGGGATGCGCTCCCAAATTTCCCGATATTTTTAACTGTCAGGACAGTGCGGCAGGGATGCAGATCGCAAATCGGATTTGTGACGGTCTCGGGTGGTATCTTGGCAAGAGACGCTGTACAGGGTTTTTTTTTTTTCTCTGTTAACATCACAGTGCATCGAACTGTTATTAATAAAATCGCGTTCAAGGTTATGGGGGGAAGGAAATCTCTGTGGGGGAAGCTGAAGTTTCAGGTTCAAGCTTTGTATTCCTATATATATATATATATTTGGGGATTTATATATATATATATATCTATCTATATATCTGCATTTTTTTTCAAAACGTTTTATTAGGAAAGCTATACCAGACGCATCACTGTACAATGATTAAACATTACCTTTACAATTTATATTCACTTGAAATTACAGAATAAATATATGCACATTGTTGTACCTTTGTGTGTGTGTGCGTGTGTGCGTGTATGGGTGCATGAGAGAGAAAACATTAAAAGTGCTTCCTACAAAGCTGTTAGTGAGAGGTGCCCATTAGCTTTTGCTTTTTTTCCTTTTTTTTTTTCTTTTTCTCTGTATATTTGCATGGCGCTTTTATTAGGAAAGTGCGGATGTCCTCCAAAAAACCATGGCGTCATGACGAAGTGTCACTGAGCATCCCCTAGGTGTGTGCGCCACGTGGTGACATCCTTTGGGCTGCTCGGCTCCGGGTGCCTCCCCCCGGCCCCCGGGATTCCCCCCGCGACCCCCGAGCGCCCCTGGAGAGGCTGGGCTGGCGGGGGGTGCGCGGAGGGTGAGGGTGAGGAGTGTGCGTGCGAGGGAGGGAGAGAGACAAGAGTGAGACATTCGAGCAAGACCCTCCCCTCCCTTCCCTCTTGCAGTTTCCAGGCATGCAGCAAACTGCGCTCGTTTGCTTCTTTGCATTATTTTTTTTTTTTCTCTTTTAAATAAATGTACAGAATCTGTGCCATGATGGGCAAGAGGAAAGCAAGCCAGAAAATGCCATCTTCCCTCCCCCTCCCCTCCAAGGGAAAATATCAAGGAAGTTTACTGACAACGAAAAAAAAAACAAAAAAGAAAAAAAAGAGGAAAAAAGCAAAAACAAAAACAGCCAACGAACAAAACAAACAACAAGAATAAAGAAAATAAAAGGGGAAATAAAAAAGAGAGAAAGAGACACACATAGAATTTACTTAATCAGGATCAATACAAAGATCCCCCATAATAATAATATAATAATAATAATAATAATAATAATATAATATAATAATAATATACCTTTAGACATGGCACAGTCAAAGTCTCAGTTTCAGTATAAAAAATAATGATTGATTAACATCTGCTGGCAAAAGTCTGCGAAGGCACTTCGTCGATTACTGATCTGAGAAGGGCCCTGCCCCGCAGCGCGCACATCTGGCGGGGCAGAGCGCACAGCTGTATCCTCTGCTCGCGGGCAGCGGGGCCGGGCGGGCGGCGGGGCGGCGGTCAGAACCGGTACGTGGTCTTCTCCAGGACTTCGAGGTAATCCGGCTTGGTTTGGAGTTTGGCCCTTAACTCGAGGTATTCGCTTGTGGGGGTTTGGTGGTCCGGGAAGCCCTTGCCGGCCGCGAAGAGCAGGGTCTCCTTCAGCCTGGCGTCCTGCTGCAGGTCCGGGTATTGCATGCCGGGGGGGTGGACGTGCAGTTCCTTCAGCTTGGGCACGGTGCCGTACAGGCAGTCCACGAAGCCCACGGCGCAGGGCGGCGGGCGGTCGCGGTCCCGCGGGGCTCCCCCCGCCGCCGCCGCCGCCCCGAGCGCGCCCGCCGCCAGCCCTCCGCCCGCGGGGTGCTGGGGGTGCACGGCCACGATGGTGTTGAGCTGCGAGCTGGACACGGCCAGGCTCCACTCCTGTTCCTTCTCCAGCAAGGTGCGGTAGCTGCTGCCCGGCTCCGGGGCGGCGGCGGGGGCGGCGGGGTGAGCGAAGCCGCGCTCGCCGCCGCCCCGCAGCAGCTCGGCCGCCTCGCCGCCGCCGCCCGCAGCCTCCTCCTCCTCCCGCGGCTTGTAGATGGGGTTGTTGCACATCTGGGTCACCGGGTGCGGGATGTAGTCGTAGACGTGGCCCGCCGGGGGCGCCTTCTCCGGGGACCGCTCCCCGGGGCCCCCCCCGCCGCCGCCGCCCCCTCCGCCGCCGCCGCCGCCCTCGGGGAAGAGGCGCGGGCAGCGCAGCGGCACCGAGCCCAGGTCCGCCGCCTCCGCCCGCGGGCCGCGGAACGGCAGCTTCCGCCGCCGGCGGCGCAGCACGAAGGCGAAGAGCCCGGCGGCCACCAGCACGGCGGAGAAGAAGAGGACGAGGAGGCTGAGGATGAGCACGGAGAGCGGCACGGCCGCGGCCGCGGCGGCCGGGGGCAGCTCGTAGGCGGCCGCGCCGGTGGCGGCGGGCGGCGGCGGGGCGGCGGCGGGGGGCGAGGCGGCGGCGGCGGCGGCGGCGGGGCGCAGGGCGGCGGGGCACAGCGCGGCCAGCTCCAGCGAGCGCAGGTCGCGGCGGGCCAGCGGCTCCGGGCTGGCGCACAGCACCTCGCCCACCACGCTGACGGAGCTGAGCGCCTCCAGCCACTGCTTCAGCGGCACCAGCTCGCAGGTGCAGTCCCAGGGGTTGAGCTTCAGGTCGATCTGCACGATGGCGTGCAGGTGCTCCAGCACCCCGGCCACCGGCAGCGCCAGGAAGTGGTTGTTGCGCAGGTTGAGGCGCGCCAGGGAGGTGCCGGCGAAGGCGTCGGTGGGCAGCGTGCGGAGCAGGTTGTCGTTGAGGAAGAGGAGCTTCAGGTTGGGCATGAGGCTGAAGGCCGCCGGCTGGATTTCCCTGATCAGGTTGTACTCGAAGTACAGGTAATGCAAACTCTGCAGGCCCCGGAACATGCCCGGGGTGAGCCGCTCGATGTCGTTCCCGTTCAGGTACAGGCTCTTGAGGTTCGGCAGGTTGATGAACGCCCCGTCCTGCACGTAGGAGATCCGATTGTTCCCCAGGTGTAAGAGATCCAAGGAGGAAAAATTCCAGAAATCGGAGCGGTAGATCTTCTGGATCAAATTCCCGCTCAGGTACAGCTTCTTGGCGTTCAAGGGCCTGGGCAGGAGCTCGGAGATGTTGTGGAACCCCCGCTCCTTGCAGTTGACGGTCAGGCCCAGGTCGTTGATGTGCAAACTGCAAGAGCAGCCGGTGGGGCAGATGATGGGGATGGGGGGCCGGGTCTGGTAGGCAGCCACGGGCGGTTGGTTGGGCCCGGGGTACAGGCCACGGGGGGTCGGGGGAGGCCGGGGTGCCCGGGGCTGCTTGGTGGGCTTGGGCTGCTTGTTGGACGTTTTGTACTCAACAGAGGAAGCGGTGAAATGGAAGGAGGACAGCATGGAGGAAGGCTTCGTAGGCCACGCGTTCTCCTTGCTGGAGGACAGCTGAGGGATGCCCAGGCTGGCTTCCACCTCGGAGTCGGACAGCATGGGGCAGAGCTTGCTTCTTTTGATTTCCCGCAGGTCCTTCCCGTGGAAGTGGAAGGGCGTCTCGCAGGTGATGTCCCCCACCAGAGCAGTGTAGGGGATGCGCTCCAGCCAGCTCTTGAGCTGCACGATCTCGCACGTACAGTTCCACGGGTTCTCCTCCAGCTGGATCTCCATCAGGCTCCTGCCAATGTGGTCCAACATCCCGCGGTACGACAGGACTTTGAGGCGGTTCCCCCGCAAGTCCAAGTGGGTTAAGGACACGGACTTAAATAAATTGGTGGGAAGCATGGGGATAAGATTGTCATTTAGGATCAGGACCCTCAATTTACTTAGGTTTCGAAATGCCCCGCTTTCAATCCGTTTAATGACATTGTAATCTGCCTGCAGATATTCCAGACTTTCCAAACCCAGGAAAGTGTCGTTCCTGAAAATGTCCAATTTGTTTTCGTGCAAATACAACCTCTTCAGAACTCGGAGCCCGTTAAAAGCCCCCGTCTGAATGTCCTGCAGTGCATTGTTCCCAAGGTTAATAGATACAGCGTTGTTCAAGTGAAGAAAACTGTTGGTGTACAATTTCCTCATGGAATTCCTCTGCAGATAAAGTTTAAAAGGTCTCGACCACGACTCTGTTATCTGACTAATATTTATAAATCCCTTGTTGTCACAATGTATATGGAAAAGGCTCTCCTTCACTTCACAGTAACATGGATCAAAGCAGGGCTCATCCAGTTCCTCCGAGTCCTCTATCAAGGGAATAGGTGTAGTCCATGCTAGAGCAATTGTGCTTAGAAGAATTATCCACAACATCCTTCCTTTATGAAGCGTCTCTGCCGTGGAAGGTTTCATCATTTGTTGATGTTTACAAAACTGCAACGGGAAGAGAAACACAGATTTCAGTATTTCTGCCCCGTCCCTCTCCTTTTCCTAAGCCCCTACCTGCTGGACTCATGTCGGGCTCCTGGAAAGTTCAGCAATTGTTGGGCAGACGTTCCCAACCAACTCCAGGGGTGTCGGCTGGGCGAGCCTTGCCCTGATTTATACTCCAGAGATGTTAGACGGCTCCATCACGCGATAGCAGCCTGCCTTGCTCCCCTCCCCGTGGTAAATGCCACCTATAAAGGGGACAGCACATGCAGCCCCACACAGCACCACGAGCACACCGAACGTGTTGCGTCTCTCCACGTTTCCCAGGCGTCGGAACCGCCCGGATCTCATCCCCGGGTGCGATTTTAGCCCAGGAGCCATCACAGCCTGCCTCCACTCCGGGGTGGGGGGGAAACACACCAAGTGTGGGCAGATTTCTCTGGTGTCGCACCACATCCTTCATCCATGCAAACTCCCAAAGTTATTGAACCTCCACCCTCGAATCTCCCTCCCTCCCGGCTCGATACGTTCCACACGCGAGTTCCAGGGAATGTGCGGGGTTTGCTGATGTCCCTGGCAGAACGGTTCCCCCCAGAAATCCCCACAGTGTCTTTACCGGAGCAAATGGTTAACGACCCTGACTGGGAAGGAAATCTTCCCTTCGCAAATGCACCGGTGAATTAATGCAACTGGTATATTATCAGATAAATACACACCACATATTAGTCATTTTAGCTGATTAAAGCATTTAGAGATGATTAATCTTTCTAAAGCACATGCCCATGCGATCAGCAGATCTAAAGGGAAGTGACAGCTGAAGAGGCACCTAGGATTGAAACGCTCAGCCTGCCTTGGATTAGGGCATTTTGTGCCCCCTGGACCAAGCAGGAGACCCGGTTAAAAAGCTGAAAGTGGAAGAAAAAAAATACCTTGACACTTACCAGCCGATAAATTCTCTATCCTACTACACACGATTCCGAATGAAGACACCATTCTTCTCCAATCAGATGAAAATAATACTGCCCTAATGAGATGCAGCTCCTTCAACATATGGTTTCACCCTTCCTTTCACCAGATATTTTAAATGTATGGGCACAGGGAAACGCTAAGGATGGGAATAATAGCGGTGGTGATGCAGCCTTCCTTGAATCCCTGAAATGCCCATTAGAATGATTCGGAGCGATCATTGCTTTTAGTCTCAATCTCCCAATAAAAAGGTCCTTTTTGCCTTCCTCGTGTAAGAACTAGAAAAAATTGCCCCCCATCCGCAAACTTAAGAGCAGAAAGATGCATTTAGGGGAGAGAAATGCCGGAGGAACAGGAATCCTTAGGATCAACTTGCAAATGAAACCCTCCCCTGTGGGAAAGAGGAGATGGTTGAAAGCACGAAAAGAGAAATACCCTCTGCAATTAAAACCAGCATCTAATTGGGGAGAAGGGAGAGAGACGAGAGCTATATTGCAGTATCAATCTCTCTGTCTCCTTTGCAAAATATTAGCCACTTAAGTTCTTTCTCTTCTGCAAGGGCTGTAATAAAAATAAAAAAAAAAATAAATAAAGAGGATTATTATATCTTCTTTTTGGAAGAGGGGGGTGTCTTTGACCCTAGGCGGAAACAAAAGGATCCAGAAAGGTTGTACTTACCGGTTTGCAGGAGAGATTTTAGCACATCTTTAGCAAAAAAAAAAAAAAAAAAATTATAAAAAAAAAGGCGAAAGAAAGGAAGGGGGTAAAAAAAAAGAAAGCTCGAGTTTAAAGATTGCTGGTTTCTCTCTGCCTCTCCCTCTCTGTGGCTCTCTCTCCCTCTCTCTCTACTCCTGCTG